AGAAGAAATTAAAGGAACATTTGCTGAAATACTCCAAGACAATTTTGTATTTATTTTTCTTCACTCAGAGGCAAAGCTCATTATCACCACACATTAGATGTGAATTAGATGATTTATAAGCTTGTCTTGAGTAACCAGCAGTATGAAAGAGCACATGGAAGATGGGAGATCTACAGATAACTAAGAAAAGCTTAATAGGAACTGCAGATAACAGAGGGTAGGATAAGACACAACAAAGAAGGTATTTGCAAAGAAAGTGGTAAATCTTAAACCTTACTTGCCTGAAAAACATAGAAATATGGGGGGGGATGGGCTTTGAAGAGAGATAGAGATGGCACGGGTTCAAATTTTGGTTCTGCTTCCTGCTAAATGTGAGTGCTTGGGCAAAATTACTTGACCTGACCAACCCTCAGTTTCTTAGTCTGTAAAATGGGTATAATAAATCTCTAGTTCACGGTCCTGGTATGAGAATTGGTCTGTAAAGTGACACGTGGTAGGAAGTTTACCATAAACTGTAATTATTAGTGTATCTGGAAAAGATTTACTATTGACTTAAAAGTCATATTGTTTTTTTCAATATGAAGTAAAGATATCAGAGTTTTTCATCTAAAATTTCCTCAGAGATTTCTTTTCCTAATTCATCTACCACATTGGCAGAAATAGCATTGTAAGCTTAACTTGGCTAAGTCTGCTTCATTCATCTGTCAACAAGATTCTGGACTTCAAATTGAGTTGACAATTGCTGAAGGTAGATGGGACAGAACAGGCTGCACAAGAGCATCGTATTTCACACCTCAGAGGGTTCTATGCTACCAACAATAACATCATATCTCTGTCAGTCAAGCACAATTATACAGCTTGATAGACTGATAGAAATAAAAAGCCAGTTAAAACAGGTCTCCTGACTCTTTTCTGGCGACAGTTATAGGACTCGTTTGAATCTGCTACCTATGAATATTAGAATAGCATCTCCTTTGGGGACAAAGGACAGAGAAACCACATCCCCTACTGATTCTAAAAAGGGTCCAAAATAGTGCAAAGTTTGCTACATTTGAAAACTTGAAGTCACTTTGTAAATTTAATCTTACTTTTTGCTTCTTATTGAAATATGAATGTATTTTTAAGACATCCAAAATAGAAGGTACAATTTCATGCCATAGGCAATCAGGTAACACAACGGTCAGGCAAATCATTCTAACAAACATATTCGTGATATCCGAGCTCCGCGATCAAAGCACTTTCATGGATTCCTTTAGAGCACTGTTTTAATACATGTTACCTTTATGAAAAAGAAAATAGAAAAAAGTATCTGATATTCATGTAAAAGTAAATTATGTTATCATAAAATTACTCCATTGTAGCCTTTTATAGTAGGGACTCCTATGGTAACGATATCTTTTTGTCAAAATGGGTAACTGAGTTATAAGCTGAAGAGATTCTTCCTAAAGGATAAATTGATATGTGGGATCTAATTTAAGTTGTATTTCAAGCTTTAAATTATAAATGATCTCAATATGCAAGACATAGAAACTGACAGAGAAAAAACACTTTAGCCACACATAATTCTAGTATAATGCATCCAAGTTTTCCAAAATACATCAAATGAAGATGTAAATGTAAGGTTGCTAAATTAAATTTTATCATTATGCTTTTTTTTAAAAAATTTACTTCAGGATATTATTTCAGAAGGGCAATGAAAAAGGTGACTCTTAGTGGCAAAAGAGATCTGTTACTGTCCCTCAGGTCAATCAATCTTTTATTTGTTTGTTTCATAAGTGCGTGAATGCTGTTTTTTACACTACTGAGCACATTTCACAACAAGTGAAAATGAATGACAAGAAAATACACACCAGGACACCAGGTTACACTTCATAATCTTTCTGTACATGCGAAGCCATGGGACCACAGAAGCTCATGGCTAGAAGGAGCTGGAGGAATTTACTTTTGCCAAGCATTCTGGCACAGACTCTGTGCCACGGATTGCTCACCAAAAGCAAGACCATGGAACTTCTCAGACTATCTTTGTGCTTTACACTGAATTTACAGGATGGAGGCAAGGGCAACTGCCATTAAAATGGCAGCATAAGCTTTGATATTTCAATTTCTTATTTATGAAGATAGTTAAATATACTTTTTTAAAATACAAAATTAGAAAAATAAAATTTCTCTAAAAATAAAATTACAGAAACTTAAGATTTCAGTTCATGGAAAAGAAATGGAAGGGGAAAATACACATAAAATTAAATGATGCTAAAACCTGGATGAGTATGGTCACTTCAAATTATAATTGTCAATAATTAGATATTATACCTCAATAAATATATCATTGGTAAACCTATTTAATCATAATAATGCCACCGCTCATTTATTTTTATTCAGATGCAAGAAATATAATGGAAATATTTTATAACTCTAAAGTTAAATTTGATAAAAGGCAAATACTTCTTGAAAATCATATATAAGGGTTTAGAAATTAGAGGCTCAAGAGGATTTCATTGTAAGATATTTCACCCATAAGGGTTCCCATGATATGGGGTCCCAAGTACTATAAGACTCCATTGTATTAGAAAAGATAACATGATCAATACATATTTTTCCTCTTTTTCACAATCAATGGTTCTTCATCTTTCCAAATGTGAGTGACTTCAATTATTTTTTAGTCAGTATTATTAAACTCATTTTTATTAAGTTATTTAATTATTAAATTATTAAAATTATTAAATTATAAACTCAATTATTATTAAAACTCATAATTATACCTCATTTCTTGGATTTGATGCAGTTTGCTAAACACATTATAACTTCTTCAAAACGTTGTCGAGATGGGACAGTATGAATGCTCATTTTATAGATTAGCTGCTTTACATTTTTTAGACATGTTTTTATTATATATAATTACTTATATCAAGGAATATGATTTGACCATAGCCTGACAAACCTGTGTGACAATGATCCATGTTGTAACACATTCATAATTCATAAGGGATAGAGATAGTGTGGTAAGTGGAAAGGGTTTAAAATCAGACACATCTAAATAATTCCAACTTTGTAAACCCTCTCTAGAGGTGCAACTATTGATAATTAACCTCTATGAGTCTTTTCCTCACTGAGCAATGGGAATGTTAACACTAGGATTTATGTGAGACAAAATGAAAGTATGTGTGTGAAGTGCCTAGAATATTACTTGCTGTACAGACATATGTCATTATATTACATTTCACATTATTGGGCTTCACAGCTATCGTGGGTTTTTTTTTAACTACAAATTGAATGTTTGTGTCAATCCTGCATCAAGCAAGTCCATAGGAACCACTTGTCTAACACCATTTGCTCACTTTGTGTCTCTGTGTCACATTTTGGTAATTCTCACAATATTTCAAACTTTTTCATTATTATTATATCTGTTATGGATCTGTGATCAGTGATTATGACTCACTGAAATCTCAGATGATGGTTAGCATTTTTAGCAATAATGTATTTTTTAATTAAGGCATGTACCTTTTGTTTTGTTTTATTTTGTTTTTGGAGATAATACATTACACACTTAAGAGACTACAGTATAATGTAAACATAACTTTTATAAGCGTTGTGTTATTCGCTTTATTGCAGTAGTCTGGAACCGAACCCACAATATCTCCCAGGTATGCCTGTACTCAGGGCTTAAACATATTAGTTCTATTTTCTTTTTATAGAATAAGAAAGGAAAGAACAATTAAATCTTTAGTGGAGAACCTGGACTAATAGATGGCCCCAAGAAAGGAGGGGCTGTGTGGCTGCTGAAACTTCTGAAGGACCAAAGAGGAAATACTAGAACCCGGACTGTCACCATATGGCAGAAGCAAGATTTAACTACCTCTTGGCATGTCTAATACTTACACCCACCAACAAAAGCCTGGAACACTCTATACTGGTTGTAATTTCCAGAGTTTCCTCTGGGTAGTAATGGCTTGCTTCTAGTTTTAAAGACAGAGGCTTACATATGAAGCCAAAGAATAAGGCTCCTAGACCTGGGCCATGCCATCTGCCTAGCATTAAGCCGGAGCTGAAAGTCAGTTACAGAAGCAAAGTCACTTCTAACATGATTTATGTTCCACCCTTGAACGTGGCAGGAAGACTGCAAAAGATATTTGGAAGCCAATGCTTCCTCTGAATAAAGTAAACGAGTATACGCTAAGCCCCTCTCCCCAGACCATGCTGGCCTGTTAGATAAGTTGCCAATGTGGAGTCTTTGAACCCTGGAGCAAACTGGCTATTCGGGATGAGAAAATATCTCAATGTCAATGATCATTGCTACCGTAAACGTACAGTGGATAATGCAAACACTGGAGTCAGACAACAGATATCCAGGATATTATTACTCAAAAACACATCTAGCTCAAAGCTGACAAGATAATCTGTTCCTGTGAGTGCAAAGCAGGCTGGAATGCTGCAGCTCTGACCTACTCAAGGAAAGAAAAAAGAAAGTGCAACTCTCCAAGGGCTCCATCTCATGTTCTTTATGCAGGCAAACTCCAACGGACTTCAAAGGGAGCGTTGCCTAAGGAGGGAGTACCGGACCAAGCCCATGGGGGGTATCATTTCCATGATCATGTTGCCATCTACATTTGGTGGACTGGCAAATGCAAATATTTCAAATACAAGTTTAAACAGATGAAAAAAGAAGTGCGAAATAGCTTGGGGATTTGCTTGCAAGAGAAACCTCAGAATTCCAGGAAAAGATTTAATATCAGGAGCTTCATAAGTTATCCCAAAAGTCCCAGGAGAGTAACTGGTTCATGATAGTATTAAAAATAAAGTTTTTTTTTTAATTGACACGTTTTGCACTTCAACATATCCAAAATAGTGTACCAGAAAAATAATTTCCCAACGTTAAATACTCTTCAAAGGTCAGTAACATTTTTCTAATTGAAATATAGACTATATTTTGATGCCTTAACAAAGTTTTAACATACGTGATCCCGATTAAGGTACAAGAGCCCAAATGCAACAAAAATACTTACGGGAGGACCTGTGGGGTTGGGGTGGGGTGGAGAGAATAAGAGAAAGGGGGAGATGAATTAGTGAAGATGCAAAATATTAAGATCAAATATAAGATGAAAGCATTGTCATAATCATCAGCAAAATACAAGATGATGAAGTCATCTAGAATTCAATGAATCCTAATCTTTTTTTTTGGTTCATGGACAACTTTGATACCATATCAGAAAAGTGCATTTACATCTATCTGCACACAAAATTTCACATAAAATTTTGGAAAATGTTCAGAGTCCCTGAGGCCTGTCTATGAATTACTGAGAGGTTCATCTTAAGATGGCCTATTTATACTTAAAAATTTAGATAAAATATGAATCAGGAGGATCTTTGGTTGTTTATGATAGCCCAGTTAGACAGAATTGATATATAACTTTCTTGAGTTTCGTAAAATGGTTAAATGAGAAATGTACCCATTATTTGTTCTAAGAATGTTTTTTCATTCAGTAGCATTGTCAATATATAAAAGACTAAACCCTGATATTTATATTTCTTTAAAACTTTGTATTCTCATCAAAACACAGGAAAAGTCTAGAAAATTTCAATATATCCACACTGTACACTCAATTAAAACACAAGTTTTTAGTAGCTAATAAGTTAGGAACTGACTTTTTAATTTTTCTATAAAACTGCACATCAGTACAAAATTTTTACTTTTTTTCCCTCAATCCTTTGTATTTCTTTTGACAAAGATCAATTCACTGATTATTTGATCCCACTAATGTTTCATTATTTCATATTCCTTAAAACACATTTATAAACCATCCTCTAATATAAAACTTTGTAAGGTGAAAGGGATACTTATACAAGTATCCAATTACTTAGATTAAATGAGGTTTAAGGATAACTTTTAAGAACACTCTTAAAGGAATTAAGCAAGTATACTGCCCAAATTACTGAATTTTCATAAATTCCTTTTACTTCGACATCTTTTTTTTTTTTTTTCGAAAAAGGAAATGAGACAAAAAAGCAAAAACACAACAAATCAATCTGCTGCTCTTTTTGGTAGGCTAGTATTTCTACTACTTCAACACTTAGAAATTGGTTGTTTTTAACACTGATAAATACTTATTAAAAAATACTGGAAAAGAGCATTTCTTAGTACACTAGAATGAAATCTTAAATTACCTTTCAAAGTGAAGAAAAAAACTCAAATAAAAAAAATTTTTTTGAAACCAAATATCCAAATGAGTGTGTGCACTTACTGTCTTGCTTGTTTTATAAAGTCTAAGACTCCAAAAATGTAAATGACCATGTGAAGTCTTATCAGGCCATCAGTTCTTCCTTGCAAGGTAAGAGGAAGATACATACAGAGATTCGGCCTGAAAGCAAAAACTCACTGAAGTGGGCATCAGGACAATTGGTCCTGTTTCAAATTCTGCTCATAAAATATTGCGTAGCCTTGGCCGAATCACCTGACTGCTCTGGGGCCTCCATTTCCTCAACTACAAAATGAAAATGCTGGATTGATTACTCAGTCTGCTGTCATCACTAAAATTCTAGGGTTATACAAGAGGAATAAAAATTCCAAATTTTGAAATGAATGAGAGTAAAAGCATGACAAAATTGTACCAGTTGGATAAAATAACAATAAAGTTTTCCAAGACATGTGCCCCAGTGTCCCAAAGCAGATGTTTTCATAAAGATCCTGCATTTGCTATCTGTGGAGACGGAAGCACGGCTGTATCGCCACACTGCGTGCAGCTAGGAAACCCTCCACTGTACGCGGAAAGGACAAACTTAACCTGACACAGTAAATAACCCAAAATTGGGTGCCAGTGGTTATCAAACATAACAAATCAACAATATTTTCCAAACTTCTACCTACAGTTTGATGGAAAGAAGAAGATTAAAAAAAATTCTAGGTCTAGCAGAGGCAACTTAAACACACAAGCTTACGCGCAACCTCCAGCAAGACAATATAATCATTAATTAGGAGGAACAGATGCAGGAATCTAACCAAAACATTAATGACAAGGAGCAGCTGAAAGAGAGACTTACCAGATTCTCCTCTTCGGCCCCTCTTACCTCGTTTCCCTGGAGGGCCTAAAATACAAAGAATAATTTTTTAAACATGGTTTAATATTTTGTTTCCTGTTCCAAAATGGCTAGTAAATAATTTCTACATATTTTATCACTGTTTTTAACAACTTCAAGAAAGGGACCAGATATTTGTAAAGGCCAGCATTATCCTACCAGCATAACTCTTAAGCCTCATTTAATTATAAAACCTACGCCAGATGTCTAATCATCTAGCATTACTTAAGAATGCTAAACATTTAGAATTTTTATTCATCCTGCCTGGATAACATCAATAAAGAAAGACTTTAATTGCAAATTGGTGGTGTTGAGATTTCATGTTTCTTAGGAAAATTTTTTTTCTAAATGTTGCAGTATATTAATAATTAAAAGCACTAAGTACAAATGACTATAGTTTCTCTTCAGTCAGCCATTGTGATGCCCTTAAAAATATTTAGTTGGCAATTAATTAAATGTATATATTCACAATGGAAATAATCCTTACAATATTTCTATTTTATTAAATATGAATTTTCATATATTGGAATTTCTCTAATTGAGAACCAGCTGAGTTAAAATCATACTCTTTTAATTGGAAAGTGCTTAGGTACTAACAATAGGTCTCATTTTTCTAGGGAGCTGGCTCATTATTGTCAGTCAGTAAATATTTAATCTTTATGATGATCCCACTTTGAAAGTGGAAGAAAAAACTTTTTTTTTCCCAGTGAACTGCCTATAAAGACCACCAAGCTAGTATGTATCAGACTTAACACAGGATTCTAGACATTCATGGCTTTCAAGCCATTATTCTCAATTTTATAATTTCTGCCCTCATTTCTTTGAGTAGGAATAGTTCCCACTGAATTATGGTTCAGGCAAATAGAAGAGAATAATTAGCCCACAATGAGAATTAAGGTCTTATAACATTTGCTGGAAGAAAGAGGCCAAGGAAAATGCAGACCCTCCTGGCTTTAAAGAATGAGCTTCTAAGTTGGACTGATGACTTCCAAACTCTAGAAAGTTCAAGACACAAGCAGCACAGGCCTTAGCAGCCAGCCAGGTCTCGACATGATCCTGAGTTACCAACTTCCACATGGAAACACTATCATGAGAATAGAAACATCAGTGGGCCAGTTAGTTTCCCCTCAAGCCTTTACACAGAATAAGTGTGGCCATCTGTGTTTTATAAGAGATTAAAAACAATCAAGCAATAAAATTGACTGAAAATGTTAGGAGAAGAATTTTTGCAGCAGAGTCCAAAATTGTCATTCGAAATTTCAGATTTCTCTCTGTATTCTGGAATAAAGATAAATTTCCTTCTTTCTTTCTTTCTTTCTTTTTCTTTCTTTCTTTCTTTCTTTCTTTCTTTCTTTCTTTCTTTCTCTCTCTCTCTCTCTCTCTTTCCTTCCTTCCTTCCTTCCATCTTTCTTTCTTTCTTTCTTTCTTTCTTTCTTTCTTTCTTTCTTTCTTTCTTTCTTTCTTTCTTTCTTTCTTTCTTTCTTTTTGAATAAAGAAAAATTTCTTGGATCCTATTCAGGATATTCTTGGCCAAACTGAGAGCAGAAGGAGAATCACATAAACAGGTAAATAAACTCAGTAGGACCCTAATAGGTATGAAAGACATACTTATTTACACACACACACACTCAAACACACATGCACAGAAATATATTGACATATTCTGATATATACAATGTCCTTAAGATTAGGAATCATATTTTCTTTTCTAAACAAAATCACTTAAACTAAGAAGTAGTTAGCAACAACTATATACTTATGATGTCTGTGGTCTGCATAGTAGGGGATATAGGCTATGTATAAGATGTATATCTGCCCTGAAGAGGCAAAGAAGTTGAAAAGATTCAAATAATACATACAAAAAATGCATTAGTACCATGTTGTAGGCACCATGAGTTTAGGTTCTGACTTGTTCTTTCTACTCAAAACATAAGGTCAATTATAAAAAGAGAAAGAAAGAAAAAGTTTTTAGAATAATTTGTATTCAAAAAAGAAATGGGCATGTCCACAGGCTAGAAATGGACCAGAAATGCAAAGTGGAAAGCAGGGATAAAGCCATGAGCCTGCTGGGCTCCAGTTCTAGACATAGGAATGATGGCCACAAGTACTATTTCTGGAGAATAAATACTCAAGAGTTCTCTAACCAGAGTCAGTGGCTTAGAAATGCTGAAGACAAGCTGAAAAAAACCCAGGTCTCTGGCTTAAAGGCTGAAGAATACAGATATAATCTCTCAATCAGAAAATGAAGTAAGCATCTGCTGGTTGGATGCCTAACTCTATGATATCTACAACATAAATCTGCGACAGAAGTCCAGAAATGCTAGTTTAGGACCAATCTGGTCTAGAAGGCTGAGGATGTCAGGTAAAGACAAATATAAAAGGGCTAGATAAGAAAGCGTGAGCGCAGAGAAAGGCATTCATAGTAAGAAACTATAGCGAAAGAAAGAAAATACCTCCTACTCATAATGGGTACACAAAACAAAAATTCCAAAACATATGAAGAAATCTAAGGCTGAGACAGGCAGTACTCAACAATAGGATCATGAATTCATTCCAGGTAAAATTAATTTTTAAAAAGCATCAGACTGGGGCGCCTGGGTTGCTTAGTCCATTAAGCGTCTGACTCTTGTTTTCAGTTCAGATCATCAGGTCATGATCTCAGGGTCATGGGATTGAGCCCCAAGTCCTGGGCTCCACTCTCAATGCAAATCTGCTTGGGATTCTTTCCCTCTCCCTTTGCCCCTCACCCTGCATGCATGCACACACACTCTTTCTCTCTCTCTCAAATAAACAAATAAATAAAATCTTTAAAAAAAAAATCAGACACGGGCCCCTGGGTGGCTCAGTCGTTGGATGTCTGCCTTCGGCTCAGGTCATGATCTCAGGGTCCTGGGATCGAGCCCCGTGTCAGGCTCCCTGTTTGGTGGGAAGCCTGCTTCTCCCTCTCCCACTCCCCCTGCTTGTGTTCCCTCTCTCGCTGTCTCTCTCTCTCTGTCAAAAAATAGATAAAATCTTAAAAAAAAAAAAATCAGACAAAAGTTGGTATGTTAATTATACTTTAAGAGGTAAATGAAGAAGTAACATCCATCAAAGAGCAAGGGATTTTAAAGATAAATAAGAAAAAAAATGTATTTGAAAGAACCCTTTAGAAACCTTGAAGATAATAAAAAGAAAAATAGTCATTGAAATTAAAAAAAAAAAAAAAGAACAGACCATTCAAATGCTAGCCTGGATATGGTTGAAGACAGAATTGATGTAGAAGGTGCAGAATGCAGCCCAGAGACAAATCCAATATTGATTATCTATCTATCTATCTATCTATCTATCTATCTATCTATCTATCTATCTATTACCTATTCTTCTCTGAATGTTTGTGTGCTCCCAAGGTTCATATATTGATGAATTCTAACTCCCAAAAATGATGGTATCAGGACATGGGGCCTTTGGGAGGCAATTAATTCATGATGCTGGGGCCCTCACGAATGGGATTATTACCTTATAAAAGAGACCCACACAGACCCCTAGCCCTTTCCCTAGCCCTTTCCACTCTGTAAGGATAGAGTGAGAAGACACCAGCTATGAACCAGGAAGAGAGCTCTCACCAGAAGGTGACCATGCTACCACCTTCATTTTAGACTTCTCAGCCTCCAGAACTGTGAGAAATACATTTATGCTATTTATAAACCACCCAGTCTCTGGTATTTTGTTATAGCAGCCCAAATGGACTAAGACATAGACATATCTATTTAGATATCTATATACCTACCTATCTACCTACCTATTTATTTGTGTCAAGAAGCAAAATGTTACTTATATCAATAAGAGAACCCAAAAGAAATGATAGAGAAGCCCTTGTTTAAGAGATAATAGATGAGAATTTTCCAGAATATAGGAGTCCTGAGGTTGAACTTATACCCCAAGTGGCAATAAAAAATAATAATAATAAGTAAATAAATAAATCACACTTAAGTTTAATAATGTTCAAGAATAATGAGAAAATGTTAATAACTACCAGAGGGAAAATTACACTGGAAGGTACTTAGATTGCCTGCTGTCCCACCCATAGAAAAGATGTCAGAAGAGCTGAGTCCTGATTTTTATAATAAATTTCAGAAATCTCTAGTTATTATTTGTTTATTGGAATTAGTTTCTCATTTTCCCCTGAAGAATGTTCCTTTTAAATAGTAGAATTTATCAATAAAAATAAATCGCATTAATGTTTAAAACTAGCTTGAAATAAACTATAACAATAATTTAAAAGATTTTAAATTATGAAAAGGTGATTGAAAAAAACAATGATATCTTTTGAAGAAATCAAGAAACAAAGAATATTTCTGAACATGTCTGTCTTAAATATTTAGTCAGAGGGTTAAAGAAATAAACCAGCAGCGCCTGGGTTGGCTCAGTCAGTTGAGCATCCGACTCTTGATTTCAGCTCAGGTCATGATCTCAGAGTCTTGAGATCAAGCTCCACACTGGGTTCGGCACTTAGCAGGGAGTCTGCTTGAAGATTCCCTCTCACCCTCTCCCTCTGCCCCTCCCCCCATTTGTGTGCACACTCTCTCCTTCTCTCTCTCTAAAATAAATAAATAAATCTTAAAAATATATATACCAAATGCTGTGGGAAATACATCTGTTATATTGAGAATTAAGACAGAATAGAATCTAAGTAAATGGAAAAGATATTTGGCAAAACATACCTATTGAAAGTCAAAGGTTTTACAAAGAATTTCATAATATGTGAGAGAGAAAATGAAGCTAAACTAAATTATGATAAAGTGAGAATCTAAACTCTATGGGATTTACAAAGAAAATACTAGATTTGAGAAGAGTATGTTACAGTTACTATAAGAAACAGAAGACTGGAGTGAGCATTATACTAGGCTGAGTGAACTAATAAATTATATAATCTCTCAGAAAGACATAGATACAGATCTTGCTTAAAAGAGAATAAATAGAAATTTTGAAAAAGTCTACTGTGCAAATGTATGGTGATTAACATAACATAA